TTTTAATCGTTTTACTTTAATTAAATTTTTTACTTTTTAATTAGAGAATATATAATCAAATTATTTGAAGTTTTTTTTATTATCAAAATCAAGGGTGATGATAGACTATTGAAGAGCAAATAACAAAAAACAAAAAAATATTAATCAAAATTGTGGTTTTAATTTTCTGTTTTTGATGGATAAAAAACATTTTTTTTTTTTTTCATAAATGATAGATTTACACCCTTTGTCAAAATATGAATCAAGTTTTTGTTAATCCATCATTCAAAAATTAGGATTAAATTTAGCAAACTTTTATAATCCCTCGAAGAGAGATTAAATGTGAATTATAAATGGATACTTAGTCAGTTTTATAAATAATATATAAAAATATATTTCATCACCAACGAAATAATTTTATCTTTTATAACACAAAATTTTTCTATCTATTATTATTAATATTAATTAAAAATCTTTTTTAACAAAAAAAAAAAAAAATCTACCTTCTATTGATTTGAAAGAAATTTTATTTTCCTATCAAATCCTTCAATAAAAATTTCCTCCATTCTAACGGATGTTTAAGGTACATCATTAACAACACAGATGTTTGATGTTCACTTGCTACTACTACAAAAAAAAAAAAAGAAAAGTCGATGAAGAAAAATAAAAAACGTTGGAAAGAAGTAGGAGAGGGTTGGTTTATGGCTTCTCCAGCTACCGTAATTGGATTGTCTTCCAACCGACCGCGCACTTCCGCATAATTCTTAAGCCCACAACGACAACAAGGAGCTTGGAGGATAATTCTCAAAATACATGCTTTCTCACTTTTACTCTTATTTCAATACCACCATCTCACTCTATTTCACTCTACGTTGTGATACTCATCAAGTTCCATACTCTTCTCTGCACACTTCTCAAGAGTTTAGCTTCCAGTAGATTCCAATCCTCCAAGTCTAACACTCTGATATAATTGCATTGTCGAAGTAGTCGAGAAAGGTAAAAGAATAATCATATTACTTTTATATTTATTTTTAATTATTTCATCTTTGTTATATTTCTTTCATTCAACTATAGTTTTTTAATATTCAACACTTGTGTAACTCTTTTAAATAATTTCTCATCTTGTCATTCTAAAAGACAAGTAACAGGTAATAAAAAACATAATCATAACCACATTTAAATTTATTATTCAATTTAATTAAGCTCTCATATGTTTCATTATTTCACGTTACGTTGGACATGTAATTAATAATGTAAAGTATGGATCACAAAAAAATTTCAATTATAATATATGTTTATTATTTATTTAAACTGGTTTTTATAAAACTATTCATTTAATATAAAATAATACTTTTATACATTTAATTAATTACTTGGATAATTCAAAAATATTTTAATTCAAATTCCTCATTAAAATTTTTTTTTTTGATTTAATAATGAAGATTATAACAGTTAAAATAAAAAGAATTCGAGAAATAAGAAATATTTGAAGAAAGGTAATTGAAAGAAGTCATTTGTTGGTAAATAAAGGAATCATTTAAAAAGATAAATAATCAGTATAGTTAAACGTTAATGTATTTTATCTAAATAGACTGGTTTATAATGTTGAAAAAAGATTAAAATATGAGAAAGAGATTAAATAAAAGCAGTAAATACAAAAGAGTTGACGATCTGATGGTAAAAAATCAGTTTTTATCTAATAAAGTAGAAATGGTTAAAAGCTTTTATTCATTTTTAGTCTTTATCTTACTCTATACTGTATATCAGATATATCTAATCATCTTATACTTTTCGTTTGTATCATTCTTGTACAGTTAGATGTTCTCTATTTCAACTTTCGAGAAAGAAAAAATTATACGGATGTAACTATTCAATGTATTGTACTTTCTAGAAATCTCTTTTGCTATGTACTTTGGAAAAGACTTTTATTCTACAGCCTATACAATCTTTTCTCGTTGTGACTAAAATGTACTGACAAATTGAATCTGTCGCAAAATTATTTACCATGGCATTTTAGAGTTAAAAAATGTACTGTACTGCTGTGTGTTGTAATTTAGTGTAAGTTATACGTTAAATTAAAACCATTTAAACGAATTGAAACAAATAAATGGTGATAATTAAGGTCTCTAATATTAAACCCCTTCTCGTTGTTTTGTCGGAAGCGACAAAAGTCAATTTTACTGGACATCATTTATGATTAATTGTTTAATATTTTTTTTAAATTATGACTTAAAAAAAAGAGCAATATTTATAGAGTTGTGAAGGTTTATTTATGTGATATTTTGAATGAGTATTTGTCAATGAAAATTTCTTGAAATTTTTAAGAGACTTTTTTATATGAAATTCTGGAGTAACGATATTATCTATCGACACTGATTTATTGCCCTTATCTTTTGTTATTGTTTGCTGTGGTTTAGATTTTTAATAGAATTGATGTTCTTCGATTTTATTCATACATTTGTTCGTTGTGAATTTGAGATATTAATAATTGAGACTGATTTATCTCTAGACTAGAATCAAAAGAAAATAGTTATTTTATTTTAATTTTTAGACTTCAGGAAAAAGTATATTCTACTTATTTGTGAATTGTTATTGTTAATATAGTTTATTACTATTATTTAAAAATAGTTAGATATTGAATATAATTCTGGTAAGAATGAATGAAGCCAAGGATAACAGTATTAAAGCTATTTAGCAAGTTGTCAATCAATGAAAAATATTGATCAGCTACTTTATTGACAGTTCAATTTGAAACTTCAAAAATGGAGTACAAAAAAATGATCATGGTATAAATTGCAAGTTGGTGGTAAATTATTGAAGCGAAATATTGTTAAAACAGCATTCGCGAAATAATGACATAAAAATTTATTAAATATTTTTTTAATGAATCGTGAATAAAATATTAATTTTAAATTATTTAAAATCGATTGCGATATGACCTCTTTTGAAACTTGATATTTAAATTCCACTTTTTTTTTTTACTCCAAACTGTGAATTTGTTTTGATTTATGATTTTTTTTTCCATCAAGATTTAAAATAAAATTGAAACAAATATTTGATGATCTCTTAAGAATAGCTTCTACAAGAGAAAAGTTTTCTAAAAAATTCAATGCTCTTGATTATTAATGGTGAAGAAAAAAATAGCTAAGATTATTTCGATTAATATTTAATGACTAGAGATACACTGAGTGAAGTTTGATATAATGTAGAGAAAGATATTCCAAGGAAAAAACTCTGATCTGAAATAATTTCCCATTCATTCTAAACCAAATGTTTCTTAGATTTGCATTCGAATTAAAGTTTTAAATGAATTTTTCATACACTATTACTTATTTAATAACTAAAAAAATTTTTATTCTTTACGATTCAATTTTTATACTCCAATCTTTTTTTGTCTGTACTTTTTATTTCCGTTGGGCAACATCGAATTTTTTTTTATCTGCACCAATTTAAATATTTTTAGCAATAGTAAATACAATATTTACAACAAATCTTTTTGAACACATAAATTTATTGGTGAATGAAATTTATTGTTTACTGAAAATCAAATAAAATATACTATTATCCAATAGCTTCTATAACATCTAATATTAAATATAATAATTTAATCATATAACAAGGATATGCTAAAGTTCAAAAATAAAATAATCCTATCTAATTATGGATCAAATGAATAATAATGAAATTAAAAAAAAGAAAAAAATGAGTTATAAATGAAACCTCTGACAAAAAATATTGAATTATTAATTTGCAAAAAGATAACAATGACAGAGTGTTAAAAGCTTCGCCTAAAAAGCTCTTAAGCTTTGCTTTAAAATTTTAAAATTAACTTGATATTGAAACGGAATACATGAAATAAATATCAATACCTAGAACTTTATCATTCAAATTTTTCTGTGAAATTAAAATCAAGTTGATCTATCCCGAGTAAAAATGATCAGTTTTTGGGCGTGCCTAAAGGAGACCCAATTCGAGCCCAAATGATTTTTCAGGCCCACAACGAGCTTAATTGAAGCCCAAAAATATTTTCTAGGCCTAAAACTATTTTGCAGGCTTAAAACGCGCCCAATTCAAGCCCATTTTCTAAGATCATATTCGACAATGATGACAATGAATTATTACAAATGTAAATTTGTAGCACCGAAAGTTACTTTCATGATTTTTATGAGAATTTTTTTTTCTTCTCTAGATTTTTAAAATATTTTTAGGCTTTGATTAGGCGCGTTTAAGGCCTGCAAAATATTTTTGGGCTTCAATTGGGCTCCTTCAAAATTTAGGCCTGTCCTGGGCTTGTTTTAGGCACTGAAAATTTCTCTAAGTCAAGATTGGGCTTCAATCGAGCCTGTATTGGGCTTATTTTTCATTTTGGGCGTGTTTTGGGCCTATTTATTTTTACTCGGGTATTCATAACTCTTTACTCATATCTACATTGTATCTGAAAAAAAAATGAATCGTTTTTTTTTCTCCAATCTATTCAAAACGTCATTGATCACCGGCAAGCAAAAAGTATCAATATGAATACAAATAAAAATGCGAACACTTTTAATCCAAGTGTCTGAAGGTCGTAGAAATCTTTTGTTCCTGTTTCATTAGACATTGGCTCATTGATTATCCTATTAAGCAATTATTCAAATGAAACAAAGTCGGAAACAATTAGTCACGAACTTGTTAGTCGCATAATTGAATCTCGACAAGTTTGATATATATATATATGTACAATTTTTTTTTCCTTCGTAATGTATTAAATAACGAAAGCCACACGTTTGGTGTATTGTCATCGAGGTTGTTGATTGGATTTCTATTGAATTGTTTTCAATGATCGGAATAGTCGGGTTATTCTTCAAGTATAAATGGAATTTATCAAATTCAAGAGGGTAGAAAGTATGAGAAAAATGCGAAATAAATTTTTAAAATATAAAAACGTGGAAAAATTAATTCAAATAAACATCTACGTAGCGGAAGATACTTATGTGGTTTATAAACTTTAAAAGAGGATGTGATTATCAAGAGTTGACACTCACCTGGGAAACAGTGCGCAAACGCCAGCAAACTGACGAGGACGAAAATCGCAAGTAGGCTCTTCATTTTTTCTCTGTCTAGCTCGTCTCGTTGAATACAATGCTTCCAAAGACTCTTTTAATTTTCTTCTTCAGATATCTTATTCTTAAGATAAATTAATTGAAACGTAGTTCTTCGGGTAGGAAAAACTACCAAGGTCACTCACTGAACTCACTCTTTTACAAAACACAATAACGTATTGCCGACAGGTTTAGCCAGGGCTCCTATATGTATGCTAAAGCCAAGCTGGACTGTAACCAATCACATGCTAGCTATGTCATACGTCACTCGACTACATCAATACCACTACATATACATACCCTTTTCACCAATAACAAATCTGACCACAGTCTTAGATGTGTGATGTATATACTGTCCAACTGCATTTGATGTTTAACTTTTCCCCTCCACTTCATCCTCACTACACTTCCTCTTTTCGCTCTCTGGAACAATCGCATGAATTTTCATGCCAGGGACTCATCCGTGTAACGACGTAGAATATTCGAAGAAGCTTCTAGCACTTAAATAATAATAATACAAAGTCGTTGAGATAAATTATTACTATCATTCGCGTGTGTGTATATATTATATTTGTTGGGTATTCTGTTGAAGCTTCTACTGACCCTAGACTTTTTATATAACGTTATTGAAAAAACAAAACCAATTGAATTATAATATTTGATATAATATGCAGATGCAATGTGTGTAGGGTTGAAATCATTGCAATATGTTTCCACTTTAGGTGGCAAAAACAACAACATTGGTTATCAGAAATTCTTTAGAAACATCTAGAATACTGATGTTGATCAGTAGTTTTATATGATAAATATATATACAAGGAAATACCCATGGGTTAGATATTTATTTTGAAGTTGAAAACTTGCTTGTTTATTTTTTTCATGTTCAGTGTAATCAAAACAAAAAAAAAAATATCTTGACGACCTTTTGAATATGGTCAAGGTCTAAGTCTGTTATATGAAATGATACTGGAAGCTTAAACATGAGTTATATTTAAAAATATGTAATCTTTTGAAAATTTATAACACTCAATTTCTTTTTGCATAAAATTAAATAGTTGTTACAACATTCAATGTTTCTCATATCCCTCAAAACCTGTGGACTATAACTGTATACATGAGATTACGTGCTGTTCTGACATCTCAGGTGCATGTACTGTTACCTACGACGTGATTGCCAGGAAAAAAAATTTAAAGAGAATAAAAAGTGCCTTAATCAACGGCTACGTGTAACCTGCTATTACCTCAATAGATTTACGAGTAGAAGCAATTGTAGCCCTTGAAAAAATTAGCTGTTGTTATTATTCACATTCAAGTCTCTTTCTGACGTACACTTTTACATTGTCCAACAATGGAATCAAAGAAAAAGTATAAGTTTTAAAATAATTGTACAATACAACAAAAGATCAATAAAAGGAAATGATTCCAGTGACACTCATATCATCACCATCATCATCACCATCACCATCACCATATGATAAATGGACTTCTAATAATATATTTTGTTGAAAATATACAGCAACAGAGATAATTTTTTCTTTCGTTTGAGCACTGCAGCATATCAGAGTGATTTAAATTATTCACTGGAATAATTTACATGAATATTCATGCAACACGTTCGTTGAGCAAAATTTATTTTTATCTATTGGATACTTTGTCTACTTCTTTATAATTATGCAACATTTTTCCGCATTAGATTTTCTTTTATTACATTATATAGAATGCTATTAGAGAAGATGATTAAATTCTACTCAAAAATTCTCGAAGCTTCTTTCAATGCCATTGCAATTTACACACATATGGTATTGTATTTGTTTTAAATGTTTTGTTTAAACAGTAGTAAACGATAAAAGTCAAGAATAAAAGCAGAAATAAAAAGCCACGTAATAAATAATGGAATAAATACAACAGTTGATACTAAATCAAAATTTGTCATTTGCAGTGAGAGAATAATGCATACTTTATCAGATAAGTGTATGAGCATTTTGCTAAATTATTTTCATGGAACTCAGTGAAATGATGATATTGATATGCTAATGAGAGAGAAGATATATTATGATGAAAAATTCCGTTTTTCAAATATCTTATCAGTTTACGTGTTTCATGACAAAGATGAATGTCTAGAAATTACTAGACGGAGACATTCGTTGTCTTCAACGGCTTAACAGTGACTCATTCGAATGATTCATTAACAGATGTTACTTCAAGTATTATTGGTAATTTTAATGTTTGTTTTAATTACATTGATTATGCAATCAACGTTAAAAAAAACATTTGCAAAGTCGTCGTTTTTTAAATTTAAAAACAATGTCATAAAATAACAAATAAGGCAAATATTTTTTGTTTTTTGATAATAAAAAGCAGAAAAAAAATTGCTTGATGTTCCTGGTGAATTTATAATTGTAAGACGAGGATTCAAACATTACCCAATGACCCTCTGGTATCAGTTGGTACCAAGCGCAAGTTATAGATTAGGCTGTTGGTTGCTATAGCACAGAAAAGCTTTTAAGAGTTGCATACGGCTTTACTTGGCGTCTCGAGGGCTCTAGACACCAGTTCTAATGCATCCTTTTGTCGACTCAGTTACTGTTAAGTTTGAAACGAATGACATTTACTGGTTTTGTTTTCTTCAAGTTTGTAAAGTAACCGAGTGATCCGGAACAGTATCTTCAACTCAAGTCTTGAGTATTAATGTTACCAGAATTGAGGATGTCTGAATGGGTAACGCGTGCGCCTGTCGAAGTTGCGACAGTCAAGTCAATGCAGGTTCTATTCTGGATCGTGTTATCAGTCAAGCGAGTAATGAAGACCAGTGTTTACTATATCGTTTGGCAAACTATAAGAAAGGAGGGGAACTCATTGAAGCATACAATCGTGGAGGTCAGCAAGCGGTAGAGCAAGTAATAAGAGAACAGTTTGGAATCCTAATGTATGCAGATGGTAAAGGACAGGTGATCAATCGTGCAGAATACCTGAGATGGAAATTTCGGGGTTTAGAACAAGTTGTCTTACCCATTGAAGCATCACTATCGCGCTTTGATCCTTTAGCTCAATGGAGTGATCATGAAGCTTGTTGGCAAATGCAGTATCGTGGATCTTTAGGAGAAACTTTGCTTCATGTCCTTATCATTTGTGATACAAGATCACACACTAGAATAGCTCGAATCCTTCTCAAATGTTTCCCCAGACTGGCGATTGATGTGGTTGAGGGTGAAGAATATCTTGGTGCTAGTGCACTTCACCTTGCCATTGCTTATAATAATAATGAATTAGTTCAAGATTTAGTTGAAGTCGGTGCTATTGTATCACAACGAGCAGTTGGCAGTTTTTTTCTACCTCGAGATCAGCAACGTCAGCGACCAACTAAAAATACTGACTATGAAGGATTGGCCTACTTAGGGGAATATCCCCTTGCTTGGGCAGCCTGTTGCGCAAATGAAAGTGTTTATAATCTTTTATTGGACTCTGGAGCTGATCCAGATGATCAAGACTCATTTGGGAACATGATTCTCCACATGGTCGTCGTATGTGACAAGCTAGTGAGTTGTAATTTCCAACGGTTCTCTCTATCTCTCTTTCTACTCCACATCACGTTGATGGTGATGGTCTTGACGTTGACAGGACATGTTCGGCTACGCCCTACGTCATCCAAAATTTCCGGCGCGCAACGGGATCGCCAACAATGCTGGATTCACGCCGTTAACACTTGCCTGTCAACTTGGACGTGCTGAAGTTTTCCGCGAGATGTTGGAACTATCAGCACGCGAGTTCTGGAGATACAGCAACATCACATGCTCCGCATATCCCCTTAATGCTTTAGACACTCTGTTACCTGACGGCAGAACCAGTATGTAACGTTACTCAATTAACTATGACAATTAACAACATACAACACTGTTCTACAGATTACATATGTACATTTAATCCTTCATGTTTATTATAGATAATCAGTTTGCTCATCTATCTAAATTATTAAAACAACATTCATTTTAACATCTTGATTCAATTCAATTCTATTTTATAAAATATCGGACTTTATATTATAATTTATATTTTATTAAAACTTTTGTAATAAAAATCTTGGTTTCAATGTATTTTTAAAAACCAGTGGTGTTAGAATGAATAAAATTCACCGATTGAAGATTATTTGAAAGAATGTGAAAATTTTATGGAATATATTAGTTGAATAATCAAATGAAAAATCATCCATCTTCTCAATTACACATTTATTCCAATTGAATGATTTTATTTTAAAAAATAAGTAGAGTGGAAATATTGAGTTGTTTTATTTCAATAAAACTTACATACTCACTAAATCATGAACACAAAAGACTGAATTTTTAGAACAGTTAATAATGTAATCATTCAGCATTCATCTGTTATTGAAACAAAAATTTAGAAAATGTTCAATTTATAATCAATTAAAATATTATTCTAGAATTTTCAGTGAGTTATGATTGTTGATGTCAAAAAGTTTAAGTTTCTACTTATTTTTAAAACTACTATCATATGAAATATGTATATCCTGAAATTTTACACTTGAATCAATGGTGATGAATCAAACTTTGGAGTTAAATTCCTCAATATATTTACTTTCTCATTCCTCGACATTCATCTTGTCATTCTCATGAATTTCTTTAGTTTAAGTTAATGCTAGTTAATTAGAAACGTCAATTATTCCGCTGATACATTGAAGCATAAAACGATAATTAGAAGTTAATTCGGCTGAATCGAATATGTGATATCTGCATTTCACCATTTCCGGGTGAATTTAATTGAACTCACTTTATTTAATTAACTCAAATTTAAAATTTCTATTTAAAAATAAAACAAAAACTGATAAAATAGGATTAATTTTTTAGAAATAACGATTGTAAGATATTGAAAGATAATAAGAGATACCAAGAATAAATATCAATAGGAAGCTGATAATTGAGCAGGAAAGAGGTGTAATTACAGAAATATTTAAAATTAATGATAATTATAATTAATTGTTAGGAAGATGATTAGTCTTTAATAAGAAGAGATTAAATATTTATCAATCTTCTATTTTCCAAAGAAAAAAATTCTCCTAGATGTATATTTATTCAGGAAAAGAATACCTAGAGAAGAACTTTTGTTTGAATTCTTAAATTCTGTCATTTTCAAACTGAGCAACTGGGAAATATGAAACAATTTTTATCATTCTCATCACCATCTCAGATTTAAATTAAAAAATAAGTCCAATTAATTTGAACTAAATATTTTTACGTTAATCTTATATCAATTATAAAGTATCTGCATCAACTCATACCTTAATATTAATATTTTAAATACAAGTCAATCCAGATGATTCAATCTAGGATTCCAGTTTAATTATCGATTAATTCTTTAAAAAATAATGTACATATTTAGCTTTGAAATGTGGTTTGAAAGTTATATTAAGAAAATTTAAATCATTTCAGTGTAGTATTTCAAACTATTTATTTATTATTAGAATATTTGAAATAAAAATAAATTCCTATAAATTCATTCGTAGCTTTAAACAATTGTTTAAGATTCAGACAAAAAGACTTTTCTTTTGATAATCAGCAAAAATCCGTTAATGATGATTAAAATTTTATCTCCAATTGAGCTAAAAATCAACAATGAATTGAAATAAAATGTTAAATATATCAGTTAATCTAAATAAAAGGACTTTTTTTTAATATATCAATAAGAGTTATTTAATACTGAATCATCTTAATGCTAATCATTAATCATTTAGTCAGTTAAGTTAACTACTTAATTAAAAACATAATGGAAGCTTAAAGAATTTAATGTTTCATTCTACAGACTGGAATTCAGCACTTTTCATCATTCTAAATGGAACCAAAGAGGAGCATTTGGACATGTTGGACGGTGGAATAATTCAACGTCTGCTGGAAGAAAAATGGAAAACTTTTGCTCGTGTACGTTAATTATTGCATAAATTATTGATGGGTAAATAAATTTATGTAAATAGATTTTAACACAGTTGCAGTTTTTGAAACGTTTAATAATTCTCGTGTTTCATCTAACATCTCTCTCACTTGCGGTTTATCTCCGTCCAATCGAGATCGATGCTGAGTTGATGGCATGGCCAGAAGAGCTATCTGATATTGGTAGAACTATCGCAGAATGTGTTACAATCCTGGGTGTCCTGTGCTATATATTATTCCAGCTAGGTGGAGAAATGGTCAACATTGGTCTGATATCTTTTCTCAAACAATTGGTATGAGTCAAAAATTTTTTAACTTCATTATTTTTACAATCTCTTGTAATTTCCCGGGCTCATAATACATCAGTAAACTCCTTTCTGGATCTTAACTGTCATGATAACAAACTGTATACAATCAATTCTTCTATCGAAGCGAATCAAGACGAACGTCGCAAGATCAATTGCTTTGGCTCAGTGAGAAGTCACGAGGTTCCACAAAATGATAGAAATAAAAGAAAAAAACTCACTAGGATTAACGATCCTGGTGAAAGACTAGTTGTTATGTCGATTGCATGAACGTAGTGTTTCATCATGTTGTTGGTAACTCACTTATCATTTATCTGTAATTATATATCCAGAAAAATATACTCTTTTCATATTTGTCTTGTACTACTGATGTTTACTATTAAATAACCGGAATAAAATTATAACAAGAGATTGTAAAGTTGTTTACTATCCAGCATAATCATTAAAATCAACTTACAATTTATTCAAGTTTTTTTTATTGAACTATAATTCTATTTATTCTAAATCATTATAAGTTTTTTATTTATTAAACATAAAAAGCATTTCAATAGTTTTAATTATTTTGTCATTTATAATCAATTATTAGTTTCAATGCCAAATTATTTTCATAAAGGTGATTATTCATTTTATTTATGTAAAAAAACATTTAATTGCTCCAATTCCAAAAATCAAGGTTCAATATTGAAGTTGATGAATTGATAAAATTTCAAACAATCCAACAATTGCTAACATAATGTTTTTTTCAACAGAGTCATGAACCAGCTAAATTTATATTCGTCATCAGTAATCTACTAATTTTGGCTTGCATTCCATGTCGCCTGGCTGGTGATCGTCACTTAGAAGATGCAATTTTGGTCGTCGCAGTGCCTGGTTCTTGGTTTTTATTGATGTTTTTTGCTGGGTTAGAACTTTCATGCTAAATTCAATGCATACTTAAGGTAACAAACTGTGAGAGAAGAGGAAAGCTCGTCACGCGAACGAGGTGGTCAGTAGCTTACAATTGTAGCTTACTGCTTGTTGAATTAAGCTAGGTCATGAAATAGAAAGACAAGTTACGTTGAGTATCTTGTACTCTTGAGTTGTTTGCTGTCATGAACAAGGCAAGTTGACTCCTCTTGAGTAGCTGAAGCAGTTTCCTCTTCTCTCTCAAACATCACTGGCATAATAAAGCGTCATCGATTAATAATTCACTCTGCCAACGAGCCATGTGGCGCCGATCGGTCCGGCGAGAAGCTCTCATATTACATCCGGCTACGTGAGAGATGATTAATGCTGCGATGATTTTGTGTTCTCGACAGAACGTTCAACTATCATCGATTAATGATGATTCACGATGCTCTAGTACCTAAGCATAATAACTAGTCCGCTAACTTTAACAATCAACCGGTTTTGTTATTTTTAACATTTTATAAGAAAAAAACCACTTGTCACTTTAATATCATGTTTCTTCATCCTTCAACATGATTAGTTAGTCATTATTTTTTATTCATTCAATGCCAATATAATTTTCAAGAAAAAGACTTTATAGAGTTTCCTAAGGACTAAACAATGAACAATAATTTTTATAGTATGATATTAAATCTTTATGATTCACAGAATTTATATAAAAATAAAATAATTGTTTTCTATGAAGTTGGTTGAGTAAATGTTAAATAATAACAATAGTTCAGTTTGACACGCATCATGATTTGGATGCTTATTGCAATTTTATGAAAGGGTTCATGTATTTTTCTATCACGTGTGGTTTTTGAATAACCAATTACTTGGAATTGCTGAAATTTAAAGCGAGACATGGACTTTGATTATGATGGAAATGTATGAAGGTGCTCATTTGGTGAAAAACGAAGCTTTTGAAGAGAATAATTGGAAATATTAAAGCTGACGTAATGTGATAAACGTATAAAGTTACCACTATAGTCATTAAAATACCACCTATTCTTGGTATTTTTCAATTTCAACATTTTGTTTCATGCCTTTATATTATAACAAAAAAAGAAAAAAAAAAATAGAATAAATTAATCTTGAAAATGTTTTTACAAAATGATCCAACTTTTAATCATTCTCAATCCAAATGAAAAATTTTTAGCATAATTGGGTCAGTTTGGGATCAGAAATGAATTAAATTCAACTAAAACGTCAACAATTCTTAGCTTCTGAACATAATTTTCACATCAATAATATTTAAAAATTTTTTTTCTCTTTACTTAAGCTTAATGTAATGCGGGTGTTTTAAAAACCCTTGGAAAGAGCAAAAAATATTACGGAATGAAGAAATAATACATAAAAAAATGTGCTTTTAACAACGATTGATCGTTCAGTTCCTGCACAGAACGTTTTTCAGGTGGAAGAGTCGCACTTGACGGTTTTATTTCTTGTGGAGCTCGAAGCATCCGTATTATCTGTATGCCTACGCTCCATTACTTGACTTTTTCATGCAAACAGAATACCGTTGGATGATGTAAGAGAATCTAGACGACAGTTGAATGATTTCCATGGATATGTATTTGAATGTCTCGTACAAACCACGCGCGGCAACGACACACACCTAACGCGTGATCAGCATATCAACTGCTTTCTATCAAAGAAAAATTTAACATCCATAAGTTTTTCAAAGGATAAGAAATTTTCAAACTCTTCTAATTCAATTTAAAACTTTGCTCAAGCATAATAAAAGCTGAAAAAGGAGTATGTTCATTGATCAGAAAAAATTGAAATAAAAAATCAGTAAATATTTCATGTTATCTTTGAATGTTGGTATTTTGATAAATAGATAGTAATCGTTAAACATCAATGGGGATGCAATAAAATACACAAAAGTGTTAGCGGATATCCATTGAATTACTAGATAAAATCAGACTACATAGAAGCCGCAAGTTATTAATCAATTCACTGAGCATTTGGACGTTTAACATAAATCGTAACGACGCTGTTTGCTGGAATATATACTCCCAATCTCAGTGGATCCGCATAAATGTACGAATAGATAGATGTACGTTTCTACATGCATAAACATATATGATGAATACTCGCAAATCTATGTACAGAGGAATAGAAAATTGTACAGATGTGAATAAGTGGAAACAAAAAATAACCAGGCAGCAAGTGAAATTCGGGACCAGCCCTAGATAAGCCTCCAGTTTTATGTCATGTTTATAGAGCTTGTATTACTTCGTAATGCATCTTTTATGTGTTTTGATATGCTCACTGCCAAACATTAGTTTTTAGGAGTTGCAATCACTGATATTACTCTCAGATAGTTTGTTTGGAGAATCTCAAGAGAAATAAAAGGTTGGAAAATATTTGATTCAATGCAAGGCATTGTGGGAATAATCAAAGTGAATTGAATTGTGGATTTTCAAGAAAAGTGAGCTTAATTCAACCAGTATTTGACATGTATATTATTTATTTTTGTACACAAAAGTTAATTAAGCTTTGGATATGATAGAACTCAATTAAAATCGGTTTATTGACTTCTTTATCTGAATATTCTCAAGACATGAATTCTTTTGAGTGTTTATACATAATGGATCATTCAAACCTAGAGTCCTCTTTGACATATTCAAGTTTCTCTTTTTCTCTTTAGATATAAAATATAAAAAAAGTCTCTATGGAATATCAGGTTTTAAGTAAATTGGTGTAGATGTTGGATATAATTAATCAATATCATGTACGAACAAAGATCGAAGTTTCACTTTAGACAGGTTATCATTTACTTTGGTTATGGCTTTATTATAGGCACATCGACCATAGACATAGTTGACTACGACATTCATTATTTTTTAGCTCAAGTATTTTCATAAAATCTTCATAAAATAAATTTCAAGTTTACTTATTGATTTTTTAAGTAGATTGGATTGTGAAGAGGGTTTTAAAAATTATCAATATTACAACGTATAATCAAGTAAATTATTTTCAAGGTAAATATTAAATATTCAGTCGAATAAAAATAACTAGCTTTCAGAATATATTTATAATTCCCAATTAATATCATAAGGTGTGATAAATTTACTGTCTTCTTCACCTGGTCTTTTTCATAGATAAAATTATACTATGATTGACACATTAAAGACGAATATTGACATTTAATTTTTCTCATTTCAAAAAATTAATTTACACTGTAAATACTAATGTTAGTAAAGAAACCAAATAACTATACCATTTACTTAAAATCAATTAATCAGCAAATATTTTGTTGGATTTTAATGAATGTTTATTGATAATATTAATGAATAAAGTGAATATAATTTTTTGAATAGTTGATCAACTTTTCTTTCATCACTTAAAGGACTCATAATATTCAGCATAAAATGTATTATATAATTTGAAGATTATTTGAATTCCAGCTTAATTACTTTTCTCATACAACGATATTTTAACCCTTGAGTTTGAGAAGCTTAAAAAAAAATTCTCTCATTACTCACTACTTGAATCTTTTTTTTTTCTTTGTTATTATGTTCTATATATAGAATGAAACTAATAAACAATTTCTATATGTCTATTTTTTGTATCATTGGTATAAAAAAAAAACTTTGTATATTTTTTGTTTCATCCTTGGTTTATTCAACGATAGCTAAACAATGTAAAATATTTTTTATTATCTATAAAAACTGTTATTCATAATCGTATACTGTTTTCATTGATCCTTTTGGGAATCTCGAAAACGTGAAAAATAAAACAATAGGTAGTCGTGTTAAACATTAAAAGAAGACAGCTTTGCGTGATACAACTACTTTAATATCTTTTCGATTAGCACATCATTCTCAATTATTTGTATTTACAATTAAAAGATGAAAAATGGATGAAAAAAGACAAAAAAAATGAAGCCAGATTTTTAAAATCTTTTTTTTAAAACTAATGAATAATTAAAAATTATTGACAATCAATAGAATCGACAAAACCATCTATTCTGATCATCTAGAGAATCTTAATTACATCGATAAATTAGTGTATTCAAAGGCATAATTCTCTTAATGAGTAAGACATTTTTGCTAATCCGCGTAATACCGATTTATTTCTATTGACAACACAGATTAAGATAGTCAAATCCTGTTCTCTGCTGTATGTATCAATCTATAAATCCCATGTATATATATGAGTATGTATCGTCATACAATGCCTTGTCGGCAGATTAGGAAATGTATATGTCGTGGTTTCTGATCAATCCATGCACAGTTAGTAGAAGCCCAGTAGACGTGATAACGATTGCTACTTATGATAATGATAATAACGAGGACAGGTCATTACGATGACCATCAATGACTCCAACAATAAGAGGAATATGTCCTTATCTATTTTGCAGTGCTGTACGACTAACTGGACCGTTCGTCACGATGGTTTACAGCATGATAACAGGCGACATGCTGACCTTTGGTATTATATACATGGTCGTACTCTTTGGATTTTCCCAATCATTCCACTTTCTCTACAAAGGCTCACCTAAAGTCAATTCATCACTCTATCACTCCTATCACTCGACATGGATGGCTCTTTTGCAGATCACTTTGGGAGATTACAGTGTAAGAAGACTTTTCCATCTATTTTTTTTCCTTTTTTTTTTTTATTATATAAATCAGTGAAAAATTATGAATTCAATCTTTTTTCTTTTTAATTTAATGAAAAACCTCTTTTTTTCCAGCACAAGATTTAGCACACGAAAGTGACGCTACATCCAAACTTCCTAGTGAGGGAGAGAAATTTTATTAGTCCACGTGAACGTGGTATTACGATCGGCCCAGTCATGGGTCGACGACGCGAGCGATGAAATATAGCCCGTCTGCTCGAAATATTGCTCGGTTCCGCGATCCGTTTAACCGACACCGTGGCAACATGACACTAAGAATAAGGACCTCGGAAAAAATACGATGTTCCGAGTTGACGTATTGTAAACAGTTATAAACGAGCACAGGGGAAAAAACAGAGAAAGAGGTCAAAAATAAATATAAAAGAAAATCAAAGCTTTAGTAGGTGTAAGAATGAAAACTTTGTTAAATATCCGAACGTAATGTTGATTTATTTGAGGCTCCCGTGAGAAACTATGGAGGTTGATGTTGACGTTGAACAAAAATATTAGAAATAATAGAAAAATTGATACATCAATTATTGACTTCATTTTTCCTTCAAGTCAATTTTAATAATTTTATTTAAAACAAACAAGACCATCAATTGTATTTGGGAAATTTTCAGTTATTATTATAAAAATTATTTTATTGAAGCATAAAAATGGATATTTAATGATCACACATCCATCGTAAAGTTTTACGATAAAAATAATTTACCGTAACTTGCAAGGATGAATTTATTTATGCATAAGATGCTAAAAAATTAACTCTTTTCTTACAGAATAATTCTTTCTTACTCTTAAATACTTTATATTTCACAAATTAATGAATTGCCAAGTGTTTCAATATTTTTATTCATCCCAACATTATTGATAGAAGAACTTTCCTAAACTAAATCAAATCTCTAGAAAAAATACGAATAAATCTTCATTAACATTAGATTTTTTTTTGTTTTTCTAGTACTCTGACCTCAGTGAAACAACATATCCAAATCTAAGTAAAACAGTATTTGCCATCTTCATGGTTTTGGTGCCCATCCTCCTACTCAACATGTTGATAGCCATGATGGGCAACACTTACGCCCACGTAATCGAACAAAGTGAGAAGGAGTTTGTGAAGCAGGTAAAAAAAAAACAATCAGATTTATCAATAGATATTCGACTATTATTTAATTAATTAATTCAGCAAGTTAATTAATCACCTGAAAGATAAATGAGTCAATTTCCGTATTAATTATCGATAAATAACTTCCTAAATGTATAAATTTCAGTGGGCGAAAATTGTAGTGTCCCTGGAGCGAGCAGTATCACAAAAAGACGCACACAATTATCTACAAGAATACAGTATAAAGCTAGGACCAGGTGATGACCCAAATAATCCTGCGTCTGAGCAACGAGGTGTCATGGTGATTAAGAGTAAATCCAAAACAAGGGCAAGGCAAAGAAAAGGCGCAGTAGCAAATTGGAAAGTCAGTATTAATAAACATTTATTTAAATATAATAATTTTATCAAAAGCATTTGATGAAAAATGAGACTAGATTATTTTTGGGGATATCAAATGGATTTTTTTGGTTTTCAGAGGGTTGGAAAAGTAACAATAAATGAATTAAAGAAGCGAGGTATGACTGGAGAAGAATTAAGATGTATCATGTGGGGTCGAGCATCTATTTCTACACCCGTTCGTGCTAGGTAAATATATCGATTTATGTTGTATTTTTTCTTCCTCTATTTTCTCCTCTTCCACTCCGTTTACACTTGATTGTTTTATATGCAGCCCACATATAAAAGAGTCAGAAATCTCGGCATCAGCGGCCGTAGCTGGCGGCTTTGGAGAGGCTTTAACAGCAGCCTTGGACGTAATGGCCTTTACACACGACATTGACCTGGACCAAGCAACTGAAGGAATACCAACAACTAACTCAAATGTACTCCAACAGGCACAAGTATCTTCAGTTCAATCATCTAAATCTCCAACTGTTATTGACATAAAAGGAAAAACTCATCGGCCAGATTCTGAAGATGTCAAAATAGCTGAATCCACTGAACAAAAAGCAGTGGAATCGAAGCCAATTGAAAAGAATAGTACGCTTGCTTTCTCTCTAAATTTATTGTGCTCTAATATATATCTATATAGATATATATATATATATCACTTCTTTTTCTCATACAAGTATAGATTCTCATATTGGTACTACGGAAATTGAGTTTTCATTTATGAATCTTCAACTATACATATTCTTTGGTTCTCTTTTTGCTTCTTTATTCTTTTCAACTCGATTCAAAGCATTGTATTATATCTACTTCTAGGAAATATTATTAATAGAGCAAACCAACGGGATCAGACTCAATCAATTGGATTATCTTCGAAAGATGGTGAGAACATGGACCCATTGCTAAGTCTCATCATAGCATCAGAAAATCCAGAATCACAACATGTGGCGTTACTTAAATTGGCTGAAGAAGCAAGAATGGCAGGTGAAATAAAAGTTAAACTTGACTCCCATATCTTGGAAAGCTTTGGCTTGGGTGTGGCACCGGCAGAATTGGAAAATTGTCCAATTTCAGAAGAGAAAGATAAATTTTTAGATGAGTCTAGTGATGATATTTGTGGAAGTAAGTGTTGGGATATTTGATACTTTATGAAAACAAATCTCAACATGATGTTTGATTTTATTTTCACATTCTCATTGCAGACAATCTTCTTGGTACTGATTCCCGATTGAGGCGAATTCGTTCAGCTACAATAAGATATTCTACTTCAAAATTTTATTGTAATAAACAAAATGGCATTGAGTATTCTACCTCGTCGTCGGATGAAAATTCACAAAATTTTATTGTTTCCAACCATGTTGGTGTAAATGAATCTTCAAGGCTAGAAGCTCCAGGGAATCTAGAAAATAAAACAGAGGGAGTGAAGCTTGAAGTTAAAGATAGGTCTGAAAATGAGAAGCTTGAGAAGAACCAACACAAACAGCAGCAGCACGTCAATAAAAATCACAAGCGTCGAGTGAAAACAGCGAAAAACAGGTACAAAAATCCAACGCTCGTATCCCACAGGCAACAACGATAACGCGGCAATTTTGCTCTCGAGGACTTTCCTACCGGCCTTCACGGACGAATATTGCACGCGATCTCAACGAGTACTTGAGAGAAAAAGAGAGAATAAATGAGTAAAAGAAAAAACAACATTTTGGGTCGAGAGCACTGCGTCGTGGCCTCGTATTTTGTGAACGGCTAAAAAGAAAACAATGTCAAGTAAAAGAGAATATGAGGGGTGAAAAAATCCGCAAGCAACTGCTAACCGTCATAAACAAAATTTCTCTCAGCCAAGCAAATTTGCCATGACTCGTTTGTCTGAATTTGCAACATAATTTTATATCTCATATCGTTTCGTTTAAAGATTGCAGTAGAATCTAGTCCAAAAAATGATTATTTGTTTTTTTTCCCAGGGTAACACCAAAAGAAGTAAATGCTCATGAAAACGATGAAATCCAGATGAAAAAGAATGACATCATTTCACCACCAACATCACCAACGGATCCCCTTGAGCCGTGGAGTACTCGTGGTATCAGCGACATGAATACTATATTGGCCTGGCGAGAAAATGGACTAGATAGTCCTTAATTTACTGTTACAAAATTCGATACACATTTTACAATAATGTGATACCATCTCTTTCATAATCAAATTTTCACGACCTAATTGATCTCATTACTTTACACATTAATACAGTGAATATTTAACCAATGAATATGTTGATAGTGATCTAGATAGCTTATAAGTTTAGTATTTGATTTTAAATAAAAGCTTACAATATTGAATAACATAATATATAAAAGATTCTCTTATGTGTAACTGTATGTGTTACGTGTATGTAAGATATATTTACCGTCAAGAAAATTGTAGTATCGCCCACGAGGATTTTCTTTATCCCGGATAAATCCCCGGTATGGTGCGTAGAATAGAGAGCATGAGCAAGACTGGTAGTGTAGAGGTAAAAGAAGTAGAGTACTCCAGAATAGATTTTCAATTACGTCAGCAGGGCTCTATCCTTAATGGCCTAGCTATAGCTTAAACTTATGAAAAGTGGAAACTTAAAATTATATTTTCTATCCATGATTGCCATTTGCAAAAGTCTAACTTTATACCTATCGTCCATCCAAACGAGTACAAGTTTGATGTCTTGCTTATACATATTTCTATTTACTTATCATTATTTTTCAAACTTTTTTACTTTATCTCAAGTGTTCTCCATCGTTAGATGAAAATGAACGTACATAACTCGGAGAAAATTACATTCAAGAGTAATTTATAAAATTCGATGCTTTCAAACTTTGAATATCTCTTCAATCAAAATTAATTCTGCAAATTTTCTGCCTTCAAAACGCGCAATATTGCACTGTTATCACAATGACGGCACTGAGAGACTTAGATATTATAAACTTTAGTAATCCATCATCTGGAGTAAATATATATACACTCAAATTATTTTACCCATAATATTTAGTACTGAATAATATTATCTTTTAATTAATTAAAACTCATTGTTAGAAAAAGAATGCTGAAAAATTACACAATGACATTTAATTAACTGTGTTTTTTAACATATTCACAAATTGAATGACACATTTCATTGAAATACACTCAAATAATTGAAAAAAACATACCCCATTTCTAATATTGATTTTTCCACAACGCATTGATACCAAAAATCCTAGTGTTTCACTTGATGAAGATTGTTTTATTGAAAGCTGATTCAGTTGGACTGTCTCAAATGTTCGAATAGTGAAGATAAATAGTATGTGATGTCAAATTTGGTCGTACATCAAGAGAGCGAGTGGAATATGACCTAGATCGACATTTTCGTGTAACAAAGTTTACCAAAAGTTTCATATTCTATAGCTCATGCACTAAGGAAAAGTCGAAACTTACAAAACGTCTTCTCTTGTAGGATGAAAATAACTGCGTTTGTTTCAAAATTATCTAATTGTAGAACTACTGAAAGAAACTTACTAGCTTGTTAAACTAACAGACAGCAAACATCATTCATGCTCTTTAATTATCAAATGATTCTTCTACAGCTTAGATAAATATACACTAGGTACCTTGAGTTTACTATTCACATACTCATACAATATTTTTAAATAAATAAATAGCAAACTTCACTTTTATTAGCTTTGTCTTACTATTGTGTATAATTTTATGCGATAACATCCTGTGATATTCCGATAAACACCTGACATGAGAGACTTCACAAAATTATATCATTTATTGTTATTAGTTAACACATGGTATCTGATTTTAACTCAACCTCTCAAAGAAAAGTCTCATTATTGTCAATTATGTACATATCACACCATGTGTTTGTTTCCTGTAAATATTTTTTAGTTAATCATTTAATCCGTACTTTGTTTGAATAGGGTTAGCATTTTATATAACCTCAAAAATTTGTGTTCTTTAAAGTTTGACAATATAGGACCACAATGCAATGATATCAAAAGTGGTGATTTGGACACCGAAGAAGTAAAGTCTATTTTGCATCAACATAATTTATATCGCAATTTCGTGGCTAGTGGACAAGAAATACGAGGCAATCCTGGACCACAACCTCCTGCTAAAAACATGATGGAACTAGTGCGGTTCATTTAACCATTTTATTAGGGTAAGTGTACCAATTAATGATTTAGTGAAACTCTGTATCTTATTAGCTATTTAGGCTATTAAACTTATTTGTAGCACCTAAATAATGGTGTGATTATAGCCCTATTATTGACACCGTATTTAATACTCTGTGGTCATTAATGGGAATATTCTCTTGGTTTTTGGTACTTGGTAATTAAAAGCTGGCTCATTAATTGGTATACTCACCACTTTTTTCTTAAAACAATCTTTTAAATATTCAATAACAAATAATCAAATAATTTTTGAATTTTATTTTAAAAATATTTAAAAAGTTATTTTGTTATCATACTATACCACTCTGATGGCTACAGTAATTATCAGATCAGTTTTTTTGATAATAAAAAAAAAAATAAAATAAAACTGTGATATTTAATGATTAAATTTTAACCATTCTCATATCAGATGTTCATTTAATTAACTTCCTGCTTAAAAAAAATTTTTATTTCCTGGAGCAAAGTGGATGTTGTTATAATTCAACGAATTTACAGATGTGGGATAGTGAACTGGAAAAATTAGCAAAACGATGGGTACTTCAATGTGTTCCAAGCAAAGATGAGTGTCGTGATGTAAGTGAGTATCATCCCATATTCACGTTCAATTTTACTTTAAACTCTCAATTCCATTCTTCTTGATATAGTCCCTCATGCTACTACGAGAGTAAATTTGTTTTCAATGGAAATTGCCATTTTCTCGTGATATTATGGAATATCGAATATCGATTGTATCATCGACGTCGTTTATTCTGTGGACGTTTTAGCATGAGAATGATTCGTTTATTTAAAAAATACTACTGATAATCGGACTACTTTTATTCATTGTTCTTTTTATTATCCAATACTTTTCCAATTATATATTTCACTTATCTTACTTCTTCAGGTCGTTTTGCGGTGTGGCAAAACATCCACATTTTATACATTGAGTCACTCGAAGCAGGAACAACTGGTCTCCACCGCATTCCACTCCACGTTCAATCGTGGTCGGACGACGTTGAGAATTTCGATACTGCCGAAGTTGGGTAAAGATTAAGTTTATTGGATTGCATGTTGTCTATATCGTGCCAATATATAGAGTATATTTGCTAGTACATTTTCTCTTTAAATGAATGAAACCTAAAATGGTTTAGCGAATACATTCCATACAGAATTATTTATGCATCAAAAAGACTTCTTTACTCTTTCCTTTATCGAGCTCATAAAAATAAATAGCATTCATAGAATTATATATGTAATCGTCACCTCAATTTCAATTTCCCGAGTAGTGTCAAAGCTCCAATTGAATGTTTGAATAATTCATGAGCTTTTAACTAAATTTTAAGTATCTCCATATGACATTTAATAGTGGCTAAATTATTATGATAATTAAATGGTATTTTTAACTACAAGACAGGCTTCATGTTAATCCACAGGTTAGTGGACTTTGCCAGAGACAACAGAGGTCCATACATTGGCATAGCAGCTGGTAAAATAACCCATGTGGGTTGTGGTCGTGCAATGTACTCAGTAGACTTGCGGCATTTAAAGATGACGGATTTTCAACAGACGTCCAGGGAAAACAAGACCTTTAATAACATTCATTTCTCTCAAACTCATCAACGCCTTGAAGTACTCGTTTGCAATTATGGTCCTATTGATCGTACCAAACCACAAAATCTTTATGACGACGGAATCCCTGGACAATGTCCCGGGGGTCTTACTCACAGCAACCACTATGAATATCTATGCAGTAAGTCATGATGTTTTCTATTAAACGGAAGACGGCTTTGGTATACTGATGAGCTGTTGTTATTTCAATTTATAATTAACATTTAATTACAATTGCTAATGAAATTCGATATATAAAAATGATCAACTGAGACGCTGAAACATTTTCAAGGTATACGTATAGTTGAAATAGTAGCAGTAGTAAGAGTAGTAGTAGTAGTGGAAATCTATTCTGACCTGGTATCTATAAAGAGCGGGAAACAGTGCAAATGTAATTCGATACTTGCAATTCAAACGACTCATTATTTTCAACTGATGTGCAATCATCATCATACAAATAGCTATTTTTTATGCTGTTTTTATTGTTAAATAAAGATGTTTCAGTGGTACTTTCTTTATTTTTTAGAAAAAAAAGAAGATGAAGATGAAGAACAATGGCTTGAACGTAGACGAGAAAAAAATAGCAGTTGTAGGATGGATCAATTTACCACAATACTATTTTCTGCCATACTTGGACAATTTGTCATAAATATGTTACTGTCTATTGGTTAGCGATAAAAATACGATTTTATTCGGATTGCCATTGTGAACACGATTGTGAAGTCGATCTACTTAAGAGATTAAGGACAACAGTTTCTCATTGTGTCTACACTCAATTTATCCCAACGGCAAATAAAAAAGTTTGCCATGGCAATTAGCAACTCACTTCTGTATCTTACGTCTAGAAAGAGAGTAAACTTGACTTGTGAAGAACCAGCTCGACATTATACTTTTTTGTCTGGAATCATAATTAGCTTTCAACACTTGCGACTAATTTTAGACTTGTGTTGATAACTTATTTTTTTATTGACAAAAACCTGCTTGAATTTGCTAATAATCTTCTAGAAAAAGAGCCAAAAAGAGTCAGAATATATTTTTTCATTTAAAAAACTTTTAAAAAAGACCTTTTTTTTTTTATACAAAATCAGGCCAAGATACTTTTCGTCGTCAACTCGATGTTATTTTTTGAAACAGTATCTGTCTTATCACAAAGGTGCTAAAAGACAAAAAACATCCAAAAAATGTCATTGATTAATGTGTTTTGAATGAAGAAAAATTTTTTTCCATACAAAAACCTTTGTCACTTCTTCTTAGAAAATCACAAATTTTTTTATATTTTATCACATTTTATCTTTTTACTTCAATCTCTTTTATTATTCGGCTCTAATTAAAGTCAATCAGAGACTTGGTAAATATTTAATAAATTTCAAAAGTTCATGAACTAACCAGTTATCTTGTACAATTCAATTGTTAATGTTAGATATCCTTTCTAAAAGACCACAAATGCCCTTCAGTCGTCATCTAGAAGTCGATCAATATCTCAAAGGTAAAATTTTTCGTCTGAGAGTCTCCTCCAGATCTGTTTGTCCATTCGACAAGGGTATAGTACTTCCGGGCTATCCTTCCACCAAGCCTGAAAGCTTCTCAAGAGCTATTCATGAAAAAAAAACGATGAAAATGAAAAAGTAAAGATAAATATATCATCGTCTCTTATTTCTTGAAGGAAAAAATTTTTCCAGATAAAATCTCTTAGTGAAGTGATGGAAATGATTTAGATCGATGAGAAAATTACTGAGTGTGCACTTGTTTTGTATGTTTAGCTGTACAACACGCAAACATAACTTTTAAAAGATAGTTAGATAGTTCTATCTTTAATCTAGACTGTCAAAATTTCTGTGAAAACTTATTTCACTTTAATTTATATAAATACTCGATACTTTTCATCCACTAAACTGGAGCCTTTTACGTTTTTAATTTAATTCAATCTATTTTTGTTAACTGTACAGGTATGGAGTCTAGTGATGCGAGAACCAAAATAATGAAAAATTGAGAGACCAGTGATTGAATAAAATATAAAATCCGTAAAATTCTAAACCAAGTAAAGTAAATAATTTGATCGTCTAGGGAATTTTCTGACACATTTAATGGGCATAATGTCTCAATTATTTATTCATCTAATCCCTAAAGCCTCTGAAAATTGCCAAACCGACTCCAGTTTTTTTTTTTCCAATCGTTCATGAACCAAAAAAATATGTTCAAGCTTTTATTATTATTTTTTCTATTTATGGTATTCTATTTTCAGATAATTTTAGTAATGGAAGTATTTATTAATTCTCTACTTAACTCTATCATTATCTTCCCCCATCAATCACGCATTCACTTGTCAAATATTTTATTTTAACACCAATCTGTCATCTCATTCCCCTCCCTCCGGCTTATCACCATTTTGGACATTAAAAATTCATGTTTTAAAATAAATAAATCCATTGGAACTGTAAATTATCAAGTGTCAACCACAAAAAAACGTGTAAAATAAATTGAAAAATTATTATAAGTATGGAGGAACCTAATCTACGTAGATATTATCGAGCTCCTGCTTACAATTGGATTGTAAAAATCTTAGGACAAATTACAGGTTAATTATGTTATTGATTGGAAACTAATTTGTTTCTTTTTTGTGTGTTTTAGATATGGAAATATATGGTTCTAGACAATGATCTTCGAGCTTTTTTTGGAATCAGCCATGACTGTGGATTTGTTACAATGATTACTATCGTTTTTGCTGTTGTTATTCTCATGTATTCTCTTCTGGTAATGATTTATTATTTAAGCTATCTTGCATAATATAGAGGGTCTTTCGGGTCGAATAAATCAAAAATAAAATTATTTAATTTTCTCTATAAGCACAAATAGTCTGGATCAGAAGCTTTATATAACATCTTTGATTTTTTTATAAAGATCAGTCTCATTGAATGACATTTACATATTTTATAAATTAATTATTATTCAATTTGAAAATTTCATCAAAGTGGCATTTTTACTATACTATTAAATAAAACAAAAAAAACAATAACAAAACAAATTTAGTATTCTTTTAAGAATCTTTTGTTTCAGTTAAAATAAAATAATCAACTCAGAAAAATAAAATCAATCTGCTTTGAAATTGTAATTGTACAATAGTAAAAGTTTTCTTTTTTATTTCATTGTTATTTTATCATAGTACAAGTGTTTTCACAGTGAAAAATTTTACAAACAAATATTCATGATTTTATGAATATTAATTTTAATTTAAATTGTCTTTTACTGTTTCTGATCATTTTTTGAAATAATTAAAACATTTTCTATTACATTATGAATTTTAAATTTTTAAGATGAAGATTCTCCAAGAGCTAATAGGCTAACTTATTAATCGATTTATCACTTTGAGATAGAAGAATACTCCAATATTGTAAAAAAACTTGAATCAATTAATTCATTATTCACCAACCTTTATAAAAAAATTAAACATGTCAAAAAATGGAGACTATCTCGTCTGATTGATGTGACATAAACTAGAGAAAACTCGAGTGATATTACGTAATGGCTGTACATGGAGCATGTGCAATAGAATACAATAATAACGAATTGAACGTTTAATTAACCGAGATAAAACTTTTTGTCAATATTTCTTTATAATAAAAAAAAAATGATGTATAAAGTCATCCTACTATCAATTAACACTAATAATCTAGCTGCATTCCACATAATTTGAAATGCTAGTGTGACTTGTTTATTCCAGAGCATAAAAGTCTCCAAGTCAAACGAAAGAATGTGTCGAGCATTGCAAAATGAAACGACTGAGGTAAATCACCTTTTTCCTTTTATCCTATTCTAGTGCTTTTTCATTCTTTTCATTCATCTTTATATGTACGTGTGAATCTATTGAACTGATGTAGAAGTTGCCAAGGAAGCGCAGCATTTTGAGTGTAAGGCCAGCATACAATTGTATACACAAGCATGTAAGTTCGTCTGAGACTTCTCGCTTGATTGTCTTGTTTCACCTAGACAGTATATTCCACTCTCTAGGCAGAACAATACAAAAAAAAAGAAAACTTGAAACTATACAAGACCCTTAATTTTTAGTTACAGCAAACTGACGTCTTTCAAGAAAAGGCCAAGAGAACAGTGAGTACATTTATTTAATCATTTTTATACTGGTGTACATGGATTGTTGTTTGTTCCTTGTTAGGTGCATAAGGAGTGTCTAGAGGTCGAGTTGATGCAGAGCCGGATATTTTGCATGAAGAAACTTTTAGAGCCTGCCGAGGGCCTCTCAGTTTTTTAATAAAATTTATGCTTGGCTCGAAAATCGTCTGATAGCGAAGGAGGAATTGGGAAGATAAAAGAAAATGAAAATATAAAATGGACGCAATAATTTTCATCTGCACAGAAAACAGCATTTCTACGTAGAGGTCTGCTAACGAGCACTAATAACCCGTAGTGCTGTTGGGCCTCGCTTGGGAAAATATATACAACAGAAAAGTTGGTGTAGAAAACGAGCTCACCACTTTGAAACATCGGCTCGTTAGCGCACAATTCTTTTCGGTTATCCTTTTTTTTTTTGTCATTTTTATTTCTACCTCCACAGCTTTTAAAATGCAAACGAATTTTTACAGAGAGGTAGTGGATAAAGAGTCGATCGTACGGTAGCTTAACGTCAACTAATTCGAATTAACGAAGCTGCCAAGATGAATTTACCAAGAAGACTGTTAAAGTATGCTAAAAAGTTAACATTACTGACAAATTGATTGTTTTATTAACATGCATGTTGTTAACGTGACGTCAAATTTTATTTTCTGCCCTAGTTTTATCACGTTATAAGCTCTTATTTCATTAACTACAACTTTAACTTAGTGAATTATTCAAGAATACTTCACTGATAATAATCGTAAAGAATACTACTGCGGGATATAAATGTCCTTCTGAAAGGATATAAACCAGTTTCCAGGAATCTATTTAATAAATATTTATTTCACAGTTAAATATTGGATTAACTATTAACCTGATTAATCAAGTTAGCTATAAATTTATATTTTTCATGAGAGTCAAGATGACTTTAGGTTTATTTTATTGATGATTTCATTTTTTATCAAGAAATTCATATTTAATTAATTTTTTTTTTTTTTTAACCTCAGTTTGTGAAAAAGGAGTGAGTTATTTTCGACTAATAAAACTCTAGCAGAATAATACTAGTTTGTTCATGTATAAGTAAACATGTACAGCTAAAAACAATATACATACAGTACTCTCTGAAAGTTGGTGGAAGATACACAAAACTATGCTACTGTGATCCAATGGCCACATTGTCACGAAAATTTGTTGATTTGGAAAAGTAAAATATCATTTTTGTTTTGTTTAAATATTTTCTATGCTTTGTGTAACTTCAAAACGTGATAATATCTTTCATTTTATATTTCAAAGAAAATTAAAATTATTATTATTATTATTATTGTGCATAAAATGAAAAGTAAAAGATTACCTTACTAAGTTTGAGAATTCATTTCTATTTTTCTTTTAAATTTATTTTTTAAAAGAATTTAAATTAAATTTAATATGAGCAGTAAAATCTGATCATTTTTTTTTTCAAGAACGAGAATTTTAACTAAAATTATGATAAATTAAAAAAGAAATTAATGACTAATTTCTATCCAATTTAACTTGAAAAAGTTTTCTTTTAATATTTTTCTATAAGTTTGAGATTTGAAAAAAACTTGTTTAAAATTAATTTTAAAAAATTTTCTAGTTTAAATTATGAATAACTTTATCTTTAATTTATTTTTAGATTATCAATATGATTCGTACATTTTACACTTTAAATTACTAAATTCTTCTCAAATTGCTATGGATAATGGATTCCAGATAAAATCTAAAATCATATTATTTATTTTGAAGACTATCCCACCTGGATAACTAACCACATAAATATATTCAAAATTCCACAGTACTAACTGAAATGTCAATTAATTTCAATAAAATAGAATGAAAATGGATGAATTTATATATTAAATATAATTTAATATTCCAACCTGACAAATAAAGATTTATTAATAATTTACAAATCTTCAGCCAAGTAACCAATATTCAGTAGCAATAAATTATTCCAACCCATAAATGTAACATTATTTAATCTCATAAACGACAAAATGATAAGAGCCATTAATTTTATTATAAAAAATTTTATTTCATCCGAATAAATCATGTTTTTACTTTGAAGGCAAGAAGAAATACATCTTTTTCTTATCACAACTTTATCATTTCTTAACCGAAAAAAAAACTCTATTAATTATTGATAAATATTTATTAAGATATCCTTTCAATCAAACAATACATCAACTATCAATAAATATTTTTTTATTATCCTAAACTGATTTTTTATCACCGTTTATAAAACATCAGCTAGAAACGAGTTAATTTTTTTCTTCAGCATCGTCAATCAATTCTAGAAGCCATCACTCTATTCCAAGAGCTTCATTTTATTTCTAATCAATAAATCATTGATCCCATAACTTAAAACCGACTGCAATCTGTGACGGAACCAACATTTCAGTACAAGTTGATAATTAAATTATTGAAACAATTTAAAGATAAACCTTCAACTGAATTAAAGCCAAATGATCTCCAACAAAAAGTATTTGGTTAAAAGAGATGACGTGAGTCTATAAATAATTAGGAAAGTAAAAACAACAAATGTTTCTTTCCTCCATCAATCAGAAATAATATGATAAAAATGAATAAACAAGACAGTAGCTACTTTATTTACCTTCTTGAATACAATATTCAGGGGTGAATTTATGATCATCAACTACTGAGACATTTACCTTAATAGCAGAGTATTAACAGTGATTAACAGTAGAGTCGTCTTTATCATCTTGACAAACATTAGTTTAGCATCTAATCTAAGGACATGTATATGTGGATAGATGAGAAAATAACTATTACGGCCCTGGGGTTGATGGCACTGCGCAGAGCGTTGAAGATGGCGTCTGGGTAGAATTTTGTTCGATTTCAAGCTCACAGTTGTCCCCTCTCACCTTCACTCCAAAGCCTCACCCTACCTCATAGAAGTTTGTGAGAAACTGGCTTCTATTCGCACGAAAGGGTCTTTGCTCCCGTTTAATATTTCACAAGAGTCCACAGGCCACTTTGAGCATCGACATGTGCGCCGTGGAAGGGTATCGAAAAAGACTAAAAGTGTTGTGTTCTTGCGGGGCAAAAAGGGGAAGCAAACAAGAAGAGACTCAAGTGTCTGACGATTTCGATGTTCTCCATAGATCGTTGAGAATTTTTTTCATTTCTTTTACTTTCGTTTCTTTATTTGCTCACTCTTCTGCCATCGACAAGTCCAAGTATACTCTTTGAGAAATGTGCACATTCTACCCTATCCCAACTCATCTATAGTCTTCATATATAGATATAGAGATACATCCTCAATCTTCACATCACCATAAAAATATACTTTTTCCCTTTTTTTTTTTTTCATGTGTTCCTCATTTCAATTTTTACCCATTTTTACCCTCTTCTCGAACCTATACGTCTCGCAAAATTAATGGAACACACGTGCACGATATGCTACCATTCTCCTTTCCTTTACTTTAGAAACACCGAGGAAATATGACCGGCAAAACTACCCCTTCTTCACTTGGAGATACTTTATGTAACAGAAAGGACATAAGCTTGGACACAACTAAACGCCAAAGACGTTTAACTTTTCGCTTCAATTTTTCAGATTTATGAGCCTTTGAAGTCGTACAATGTTGTGTAGAATGGTGGCAAATGCTCGCTTTTATCGATACCGATAAGTAATGGGTATACAAAAATAGGGCAACCTATTTCTGCGATTTATTTGTCTTTGAAAAATATTTTTAAGTTACAGCGAAATTTATGAAATGGCCTGGATGGTCTAGTTCCTCATGCTTTGTTGGATTTTTGATTTTTTTTTATCATCGTAATTGAGAAGTGGAATGAGTTTGTAACTTGTTATCTCTTTTCAGAGGAGGAATAATAAAATATTTATTGGAAAATATTTTTTCCTTTTTTTTTTTTTTTCATAAAAAGTCGGAAATAAACTGATAGAAAAAAATTTTAACTTTGTAATAAAGTATTTTATGTTTTTAAATAATATTTCTATAAAAGTTTAAATAATAAAAAAAATTAAAATGTAATGTATATAATTTTTTGTTTTTTTTTTAAACTTCTATTTTTATTAATTGGATTTATTTCCACCATATTAATCAACAGACTAAATTTCTTTAACCAAAAGAACTTCTTAATTAAGAATTATTTACAAAAAAATTTAGATTAATATTAACGTTTGATTAAAAAAAAAAAAAATCCGATATATTAGATAAAATTAAATTTTTTCTAGCAAATATATTATTATTTCTCTAATAAATCTGTAATAAGTTGATTTCAGTGATGAAGATATTTTTTTTTTTTTATTTACAGTATAAATTCTTCTACCCATATATTGATTAGTAATAAATATTCTTTAACTCAACAGACCATTGAAAGTAGTGAAAAGTGTTCATCTTCATTGGAGAAAAAAAACTTGAATAAGTTTACAAAGGTCATCAATCCAACCTATTGACATCTGTTATAAATAAAATCTAATATTGATTTATTCATGACATTATTTCTGTCAATAAATACCATCTCTAGGAAATAAAAAATTAATAGATCTCTTAAAAGATATCAATTTAAAAGAAGAAAAAAAAAGAAAATAAATCATTTCTTTACATCTCATCGAGATGAGTGAAATATTACTTAAAATAAAATGAGTATTGATTAATAAAAAACAATTTCTAATGTCAATAATTAAGGATAATTATTATTTTATAGTTTAATTTATGACTTTAATAATCAATACTATTTGACAATTATCACATTAAAAAATAATGATAAAAATCAATTATTAAATACCGAAAAAATTTTAAGACTTTTCTAAAAGAATAATAATTAAATTAACACGTTAATACAATTATCATTTTATTACAAATTGTATTATCATCAGTAATACAACCGTTTGATTGAAATTCATATGTGATTATTCTGATGGATTTGCAGCATTCCAAATAATTAAAATCAGACAACATTATTGAGATACATTAATTAAATGATTGCTATCATTAACAATATTTTAGTAAAAATTAATTTAAAACAATGAAGAAGTTGTAAATCAACAAAGTTAAAGAATAATTAACTTTTATTGAAAAAAAAAAAAAAAATTTAACTGTAAATAAAAATTTATTGCTTCACCAACAGAAGGTATTTTAATGAAAATCAACTGTAACTAGGTAAATTTTATTATTACTTTATTTCATCAATTCAATATTTATTTAGTGGTCTCGATTGTTCATCTATTGATCTACTTATTTATTCAACAGGAAAGAATTATTAAAAAATAAATTATTTAAAAAATTACATTGTTTTAACTCTACCACACATTTTATAGTAACTCGACAAACTGATGAAAGCATTATTCCACTTTGGATTAAGTTATTATCGCCATAACAATTAAGTTGAACATGCAAACGTAAAAATTTTGATGGACTTTTTATATCGTTAAGAAATAACACTAAATAAATTTTTAAAAAATCATTTACATCAAAAATTAATCCTTCAAGTGAATTGAAAAATATAAATTATAATGTTGTATGTTTAGATTCATTTTAAAGATTAATATTTTCTCACTATATTTTACTTTATAAAGATCTAGTTAATTATAAATGTAATATTTGTTTTTCATGTCTCATAATATCTAGTGGAAAAAAAAGTTAAAGTGTAGTCCAGTGTAGATAAGAAACTGGAACGTTTACCTCATTAAAAATATACCTGTAATATTTAATGAGAAGATATTTTTTATTTGCAAGTAATAACAACATTTCATTCATCTAGAGTTTATTGACATATAAGAGTGTAGTGCAATAACTCAAACGGAAGCTGTTTACATACAAAAGGATAAAGTGAATCATATAAAACAGGAATGTTCGTCTTTT